TTCCGCCCGGCGCTGGGGCCTCTGCGAATGCCAACCCGTACGGTGGCACTTGTCGCCAGGGCTTCACCTGGAGCGACTCTGTTTAAATGAGTACCCCCTTCGTCCCGATCCTTGCCTGTCTTGGAACAAGAAAAGGCTCCCTGAGCAGAGGCTCGTTCGGACGACACAGCGATGAACAGTTTTCAGTTTATTACCAAGAAACTCACCGGACTTGCAGGGCAGGGCACAAACCACGCAACTCCTCCGTTCAAGGAGAGGGGAGGCACGGCAGGCAAGTGATTCCCAGCAGCCTGCAGTGCTCCGCTGCGGGATGAGCAGAACTCCTGGGCTCTCAGCATGGCTGGGCTCGAGACAAGAGCCCGAGTGCTTCCTCTTGGGAACCATCCAGGCTGGTTTGCTGCTGCCAGTTTCAGAGGCTGCCGTGTCACCTTTTGCAGACAAAGCCAGGCTGTGCCCCAGGAAGACAAGGATGCCTTTCCCACTCCCTTGCCGGGCACTGCAGCCCAGGGCCCTGGACTGAGGTTCAGGTGAGCAGTTCTGGCAGTTCAGGGCTGACAGACGCGGGGGGCCTTTTCCCCCAAACTTGGGCTTCAGCATTCTCAAATCCCCATGGTGAGATAGTTTAACAAGCTTAAAATGGAAAAGAATTAAGCCAGTTTTTAAAAAGATTCATTTTCTGACACTTTATTGAGCTGCAGGTCTCACAGGAAAGCCCAATAAGAACTAAAGCTGGCTGGAAGGGCACGGTGCAAAGCAAGACAAAGGTAAGCCGTGGAAGCAGCAGCTGGCAGCGCTTCCGTGCTTGCCAGGCAGGTGACCACAGGCCGGGTTCCCTGCCTGGCCATGCGGATGCTGGCATCCACAGGCAGGAAGCACGGCCTGCACAAAGCCAAGGGCAGGGGCAGCCTCCAGACCGCAGGAAGTTTGAGTAGTATAACCAGTCCTGGTTTGACTTGCTCTTACCTCTAATGCCATTCTGCTTTAACTGACTTTGCTTGATGCTTACAACCCTCACTGCTTGAAATCTGCCTGTTTACAAGTCTCCTATAAATACAGTATAATTCACGTAGTAAAGTTTGGATTTTTTTTCTTTTTAAAGCTAAATACAGACTGCTGAAAGGGCTCAAAAAAACTTAACAGCAATTAAACCTATGGCAAACCTACATCACTTCTCTACTCACCTGCTTTCCATCCAACAAAGCTCATGAGTCTTTAATAACATCTCAGAGCTACTGAAAAAAATAGAGCTCAAAGAAATCCTATATGCTAGGACAGTCTCCTTAAGATACAAGACTAAGCCTTCCTTCAAACTGTGCATCTGCGTATTACTTATACAAATTAATTTATTACTTGTCATTTATTTAGCAAAGGAAACACAAAATCTGAGCGAGAGCGAATCCTTACATTGCCATTGCTTTTATATTTGTGATTTTAAAATCAGTAACAAGCAATTAAATACATGCACACTGGCAAGTATTCTACTTAAGAGGATAAGCTCATTTCAAACTAGAGGTTGTCCACAAGACAGAACAGAGTTTTTGTTATTGTGCTATATTTCAAAATGCATGTAGTTGATCCATCTTTAAAGTCAGAATATTTTACCCAACTACTCTTTATTTGGCCTATCCATGAACACAGCTGGTTCCTGTTCTTACAAGCCGTTGCAGGGACCTTTGGGTACATATTCCCATTGTTTTTGTTGTATTCATCTTCAGAACAATTTGCACGGAAATCGCGGTTCATTTGATTCCACACTATCCCTTGTTTATTAAAAAAGTTTTCAAGGGAAATGCCTCCAAGTGTCATGTTGCTGCTAACATTCAAAATCCTATGTCTTGCTTTCCTGCAGTGCCCTGAAAAGTTTTTGCAGCATTCATTTTAAAATGTAAAAGAATAGAGCAACAACCCAATTTAGACTTTTCCGGAAAGATACATACCCATTTTTGTATATATTTGCACATTTTCGTATCACTTCATAAGCATGGAATTAAAAGACTGGTTGTTATTTTAGCCTTTTCCGCTGAAAACATTCCTAAGGGAGTTACTAAAGCCCAAAGAAGTGGAACGTACGTGATGCTGACAGAGTAGTGATGATATTGAATTACTGAGCAGGCCGTTATAGTAAGATTTCTGAAACAGTTAAATACAGAGATTGTATGCTCTTTTTATTGGCATACAGTCACTACCCATATAAGTGCATTTGTGTCAAAAAAATAATTTTCATATTTACAGGAAGTGACAGAGTTCCAGTTGTTGGCAGAGTATATAAAGCTTTTCATACACAATCTTTTTTATTATTAGACAGAGAATATAAAATCTGAACTGAAAATCAAATTCAATGCATTCTGGAAACTGTATTCCTCAACAGCTTTTCTTAAAGTTATTTCTAGTTTCTTTCTTTCTTTCTCTCTCAAGGCATCCTTCTAAAATACCTGAACTGTTACGCTACCCACTTTTAAAAAAATCCTCACTCTTACCCAGAGCAAAGAGCGTAGAAAGATTGGATCAACATATTTTTATTTATACCGCTACCGATGCAAGTAGAAGTTATGTGCTGCAAATTATGCCTTATTTTGCTAATAGGTATGACTTGTTTACTCTATGTAAAAGGACATAACTGGGCGTTGGGGGAGTGTTATAATTTATAACTGATTAACTAATTCGTTATCTGTAACAGTGTTTTGATAAACATGCATGTATTCACTAGCCATTAGCTTGCTTAATAAAGGCATAGTTAAAATGTGATTCTTTGCACTGAAACAGTTTATTTCTGCATCTAATTTATGAAAAAAATTACAGTGGAAAAATGCTGCATAGCTTAATTCTAATTTAGTTAAATGGATTAATCTGTTCATGAAGACATGCTTCACAAGTTGCCTGTACTAGTATATTTCTTCTTAACGGATACAGCCAATCAAAGAAAACTTACTTTGATGTTAGGCCTTTTTTCTTTTTCACAGCTGGTGTCATACCAGACCTTCTAGGCACAGATCTCTCCCTGAATTCATGTTCTTCTGCAACAGTTACTGACCTAGGGTTGTATATTGTTGGTTACTAACAGTCAATTTCCCAAAGTAGATAATCAGTGACCTCTTTCACTTTATAGTAATACTAAACCCAAAAATTTACTGACATTGCTGTCTAATCAATGTATTATCCGGACAGGAATCGCAATTCTCGTAATGCTAACAAAAATAACCAGCTTTAATATTCACTATGCATTTAATTAATGCATGTGCCAAAATGTAGTTAACCTATTGTCAGTTTTCTAATGTGTACTCAGTGACATTTGTAAACATATTCCATAAAAACATCTAAAATTCTGAGATATGTTCGTGTAATATCTTGAACATCCAGAAAGTTCTTTCTGAAATCTGGGTGAGGAATATAGTTCCAGAGCTTCATACTGTCACACAAGATCAGTTAGTCACACATATTCCTAATGGGGTTCAGTCTGTTTAAGTATAGTTTGTATTACAGTGACCCATATTTTACACACACACCATATAGTACTTGCTAGACCAAAATAAAAGGCTATTAAAAATCTATTACACATATCTAAAGGAAAATGCCTTTGCTCTGTTCTTCCACAACCCCAATAATCTCATCAAATCCATGAATAACATATTGTGGTAAGTGTTTTATGTTAAATCTTTCTCAAGTACTTTAAAAATTTGTTATACCAAAAAAGCTGCCTTTTTTTTTAAGTACTTTCTACCATTTAACACAAAATTCAGGTGCAAGAATTTTAAACAAAAATTAACTAAAGAGCTTTATTGACATCACAGTACATTCAATAGTAATTTTAAGAACATTACAGCTGAAAGAGAATGGCCTGTTTTATAGTCTTAATAAGCACTACCGTTCTTGAAAAAATGTAATACAAAGAAATCCTATTAGGTATTTAATTCTGAGCAGCATTTGGAAAAAATACACCTATGTACAGATAAAAAAAGGATTCTGGTTTCACCTACATAGCCACAATGTGCCTCTATAATGAGACAAGCCTTTTATAACTCATGGAATTTTTAAACGTCATAGCACTGGTGCCATAAATTCCTCAGCGTTTACGACGAAGAGGAGTTGTTGATCTGAAAAATAAAGGAAAAGGGGGGAAAAGTTAACTGGAAAAAATAAAAGACCCCCAAACCCACAAACTTTAGGCTTAGTAATTAATAGTTTTAAAAGATTTTCCAAAGTTACTTTTGCCCAAGACAAAAAGTTTAATAAATACCATAGTTTATTTTAAAAGTTCATATGCCGAACACATGAAGACGAATATAAAAAAAATTTTAAAAGTCAGACAAAATACTTAAAAAGTATACTACCTTGATCGTGACTTAGACTTGTGTTTGCGGCTTGCCTTCTTACCAGACCTTTGAGATTTCTCCATGGAGCATGACCGAATATGCTTTGATTTCTTAGCCTTCTTTTCTTTACTGCTTCCTGGTGATTCAGAACTACTTCTCGCACTAGATTCAGAGCCTGACCGCTTTTTGCTATCTTTGGTAGTAATTTTTTTGCTTTCTTGTCTGGAATCCTGTCTTATTATTTTCACACATATTGAATCACTGCGAGAGAAAGTTCTTTCACTGTCTCTTTTTCTCTTTAATCTACTGTCATCATGATTGCCAGCCTTACTTTCTTTTTCCTCTTTTTTGGGCTTATCTTTTCTTTTTTCCTGATCTCTCTCCCTTTCTCTGTTCTTTTTTCTGTCTTTATCTACACCTCCGCCCTGTTCCTTCTTCCTGTCTTGATCTTTACCCTCACTTTTATGTTTGTGCCTATTTCCAGTTGGGCTTCTACGCTGGTCTTCAGCTTTACGTCTGTCCCTGCTTCTGCTGCGGCTTGCACGGTTGGCTCGCCGGTCTCGTGAGCGGCTACCGCTTCTACGTCTATCCCAGCTTTTCTCTCTTGAAGGACTCCGGTTTCTCCGCCTCTCCCCTCTTTCAGCACTGTGATTTCTACTAGATCTTCTCCTTTCCCGTATTTTCTCTCTGCTCCTACTCCTCTCTCTCCTGTTTCTGTGGGAGTAACTCCTGCTTCTGCTGCGTCTAACCTTATGTGATGGCGTCCTACTGCGACTGTGCCTCTTCTTCCTTTTAGGAGAGGAAGAACGTGAAGAGCTGCGACTGCTACCTGAGCTAGTGCTATAGGATGAACTAGATACTGTGCTGCTACTGCTGCTGCTCCTACTATTGCTGCTAGTGCTACCACTGCTGGAGCTTCTGGACCCACTCCTTCCTGTCCTGTCTTTACCCTCTTTCTTGACTTCTACATCAGGTGTGATTGCATTTGGAGATCTTTTCTTTTCATGAACCATATCTGCTTCAATTTCTTTTGCCTCCTGTGATGCTGAGTTACTATTTTGTTCTTTGTTGCTAAATTCACTCATCTCTTTCGAAACTTTTTCATTTTGTAGCTTCTCTTCTGAAAAAAAAGGTACACAGAAGAAATAATGCAATCAATTTGGAGCAATATGTCAATAATTTCCATACTGTTACTTTGACAAAACCAAATTTCCAAGCACTTATAATTGAAACACTGTCCACCACCACACCAAACCACTCCTTTTCTTATAATTCTAGAAAAGTTGTCCTGGTTTAGAAAATGTGTACAGCCTAGACATTTTTTAGAAGTCCTTGACGTTATTTCATGTTTCAATGGTTTAAGAAGAAGTTCTCAAACAAATATCCTGGAACACCAGAACTCCCGAATTCATCTACACACAAGACTTTTTCCTTCTTGCAACCTTTCTGCACACCTGATTCTCTCATTCTCCATCCTACAACATCCCTCTAGCGGAACTGATGCTTCCTGCCTTTGTTCCAGCTGTATTCACCTGAGTTTGACTGGTCTGAAAAAGCTGTATTTCCCACACAGCATATGAGTGGACTCTCAACGTCAGAACAATGTTGGCTGTACCTCTATACTTTGTAGGCCTCGTTGCCCAAAACAGTCTTAGGAGGAATACCTTCTGCTGTAGTGACATACCAGGTTGTTGAAATAAAATATAGGGTTTATGGTGTTTTTCAAGGATAATTTGATTAAATCCTAAATGCTAACCAGCATGAACAATCAACATTTTTCTTTGCAGGTTTTATAACCGATGAATTCCGAGGAAGGGAGGAATAGGATTAAAAAAAGGAGACTTGTAGATAATTCTTTGCTTAAGACTCAGCTCAAAAGTTAAGATCACAGCATGTAATACAGGTACTTGGTGAAGCTCACACAAAGTGAAAAGTTAATGTCAGCTCAGATTAGATGTAAGTTTGGCAGCCAGAAAATATGATAAATGTGGTAAGATGACAACAGATGAATTAAAAATACATTTCTTGAACGGAACATAATGAGTATCGGGCCATGATTTCAGACCCTCAGAACATTTTCCAGAGGTTTCCAAAATTAAAAAAAAATTATTTCTATTCAACCTAGGATCCTTTGCATCACTGGCCAAGTTTATCTCCCCTTCCCATTTTAAATTGAACCCAGGAAAAAAATAAGTGACATCCAACATTTTTAGCCAAAACAGGGCCTTTTGATGTGGGCCATCAGTTGTTGAATTAATTTAGGGGATAAAATTGCATCTAGAAACACACAGTGATTCAAATGGCAGCTGATGGTCAAATCTAACCCAGAAAACAATTCCATCTGGTCCCCAAGTTATTAGGCAATACAGGTAAAAGCCAGTCTATGTTAGAAGATGCTGTATAGTATATTAGAAATCTTCTGCCTTTCCAAAACACTGTTACAAATGACTCTGCATTTAGTATTCTTCCATATTTTGGACGTATAGAATCAGCTGCTTTACTCTAGATTTTTATTTCTGCAAGTAGTTCCATGGAGATGTTTCCACACTGGCATCTGGTTTAGTTTAGTGGAAGACAGAGGTCATAAGCCACCACTCGGTCACTCTCCATATGACTATCCTTTTATGCATACATCTTAAAACACTCAGAGAGAAACAAGAATATTAAGGAAACCAAAAGTTTAGTTAATTCAGCCTTTCATTAACAGCAGCATCTGTTTTATTTCCAGGCCTTTAAAATAAAAAGTAAAAGGAGGAAATCATCAATCTTAAGTGCTAATCATAATAGCACTTTCTCCTCCAGCCTATGAACTTGGTTCATGACTTGTTAGCATTGAATTCATCTGTTGATCTAGACTGCTCTTCAGCACTGCAAGGTAACTGTGATACCCTTTTGACCTACATAATTAGTACAAAAGAATAAACCTTACCTTGTATGGAAAAGCAGAAGTAAATCACAGATTGTTGTTTTTGTTTTTTGGGGTTTTTTTTTGTTCATTTTTAAATCAAGCCTACCACCTTCTTCATAGGCTAAGTGTCAACTACTGAGTTCAGTAATTTTTCCCTGTTATTAGGTTAAAACCCAGCTACGAGGATGCAGCATATGGAAACAAAACTGAACTACAACAGAGGTCAATGAGTTCAAAGAAACTGCAGGTCCCACTGTACATTCTGAAAGACGTGCTGCCTGAGATTATGTACCAGAAAAGCAAGTTTTTCAGATGATGTGAAATGTGCTTCATATTCAACCTTAAGGAATCGAGTTTATATAAACTGCAGTGTGAAGCAGAAAGGTGAAATTTATCCCCCAGGCATAACTGAGATACTAATAATTTTTAAAAATACATTATACACACATGTACATTTTTATAAAGTGGTATGATTGTTTATACAGTATCTGTACAGTACAATATCTAGAGCATACATTTATGCACCATGTCTCCCCTTTATACACTGAAGTGGAAAAATTTATGGAAAACACTACATGTATTTTTTTCTTTTTAACAAGAAAGCAGCAACCCCCACTTTGATCAAGTAGCTCGAACATCTTTTTTGTTAAAACATTTTAATTAAAAATAAATAACATCATTTCTACATTTGGCATAAAATGAATTTTCAATCAGTTTACATACACTAAGTAGCAAACTCCATATACAGCAGCGCAGTAAGAAGACATTATACAATTTACCTTCTAGCTGTTTTTCTAGTAGTAGTTGCTGTTCTCTCTCTTTTCTCCAAAACGCTTCCTGTTTTTGCCTGATTCTGTGTCGTAATTCCTCATCATCAGTATCAGATGACTCAGAGCCTCTGTCACTCCTCTCATCTTCACTGTCTCCTGATCCATAACCACCCAGTCCACCTGCGTGCATAAAGCCCAGTCTATCACGAGGAAAGGTTAAGCTTTGTTCTTAATATTTCTGTGAGGCAAAGAGGAGAGTAACATTCCCTTCCTTCACTTCCTCTTCTCTGAAGAAGTCACTTTATTCTGGTAAGTGCCAATGTTGTTTGACTGGTGTGTTCAAGGCTCCCATATCTGCATTGACGCTCACTGTCTGGTTCTACTCCTTCTGGAACAGCTTGTCTATTTTCAGCAAGCAACCACTGTGATCACGGTACTTTTTTCCATTGTATGGAAGGGCAAAAAAGCTCCCTGTGGAGACTGTAATAGTGCCTGCCTCTGCATCAGCAACCGGACAGAAAAAATGCCTGGGATCTTTCCCAGAAGACACCTCTGAAATGACTTCAGCCGTCTCCGTAGTCCAGGCTACAGAAATTCTGAATGCCATATCAATTTTTCTATACTGATTTAGAAAACACTGCACTTTGACAGGTATGGACATGGAACAAAAACAGGCTTTCTTCTCCCCCAGGGATTAATAACTACTGGACAGATAAGAAGGATAAAGTCAATTTAAATCTGACACAGAGATATTTTACTTTCTTTCAGTCTAAGGTTCTTAGAATCCTTACTTAGTTTTGCAACGTGAATACTTGTGATGATAACATTCAATCTAATTCACCAAAATTCCATGTAATGAACATATAACTGATCGCTGACACTGCTGTAGTACGTTTTAGATGATAAAAATCATGTTGGGAAAGATCTTTTGCAGTTGTGTTCCAAGCTGGAATTTCAATCTATTTTTCTCATGTTGTTTATGGTAATATATGATATGGGAGCCTTTGTGCCTATGTAGCTTTTCAATAAAATAATAATTACAAAGATTATAATATTTTCATTTATAGACTTTCACATTACTCTTCTATCAAATTTCCCCTCTGGTTTGGATGGATCAAGATAGGAGAAAAATATAAAACAGTATTCCTCTCTTAGAAAACTGCAGTGTGCTTCTGAAATTATCACACTTCAAAATGTAAATTTATCTAAAAGTTTTACATATTTTCAAAATTAGGGTAGGATTCCCAGACACTAACTGCCTAGTCCTCTACTCCAAACACTATCCCACTTACATATCAGTAGGATCACCTGTGAAACAAACAAAGGTGCTGATAATGATAAAGTTATCAGAAAGTGACCCATACTCCCGGGCAATTAAAATATAGTTTCAAAATGCAATTTCTAGAAATGCAAGGCAAGAACAAAACTCCCCCTTTAAGCCCTCTCAAAAATAAGGAACATACTTACCGAGTCCAGTGAGGGAAGCCAGTGCACTGGACTGTGCCAGCTGTTTTGCAGGAGCTTTGTATCACATCAACAACAGGAACAACATGTTAACACAAATAGCCACGATTTCATAGTCATGAGTCTATGGTATTGTTAAATCTACTACTATTGCTGTTCTTTGGAGGGAGAGAAGAAACATTAAAAACGCATCATCCATTTAAAACCACTTCCAGATTTTCTGACCACGAAGATTTAGAATTTAACTGCAAATTAACAGTGAACAGAAAAAAACCAAATATATACTCATAAATCACTTTCCAAGTTACAGCATCTGCACAGAATTTTCAATTTCAGTAGTAACATATTTAGATTAACTCTGTTACGTTAAAACAATCTGTTATGTAAATGCAATACATGTTAATAGTGAAAGCAAATTAATTACTAATTGAGGACTCAAAGTTCATCTCTTTTCACTTCTGAACAGCCTTGAGATAAAGATGACAGTATTAAGAAACAGCTACAACTCGAGCCATTGACACACAAGGCACCATTTTAACTGAAATGAATTGCATGAAAAAAATGGAATAACTGAAGTAACTCACAATACACTGCACAGGACAACAGTACATGATTACTGGATTGGAACTCTACCAAGTTGGATGCATTATACTGGAATTGTTCTTGAGGGAGAGCTATGGAGGTTAAATGTTCTAGAGACATGCAAATATAGAATATTCGCAGAAGAAACTAAAAAGAAAAAAAAAAAACAACAAAATCCCAGAGGCTGGCATACCTTTAGTTGCTTTACGGTGAACGTCTTTGGCCACATAATAGATTTCTTCATTTGTGACATCTAAGAGAATCTCTGTCAGCAGCATTTTTGTCAGCATCATCTGAAAAAAATGGTATATAGAATTAAAGGCCAAAACATCTTGAATAAACGCTGAATTCAAATTCTATACATAGGACTTCACTTCTTTTGATAGCTATGAAAGTAGTCTCCTACACATTTTATTTAATGACTTCTTTCAACAGACGTGACTAAAAACCTAAGATTGAAACTGTTTAAATGTGACCTGATGTCAAAACTTTCAGGTTTGTATTTTGACTGTGAACTGTATCTGCATGTATTGCACACAGCTATCCAGGGCACTGATCCTAATGTCAAAGATCATACAATAAATGAATATGTAAATCAGAAATGTAATTAGACTGATCCCATTTATTCTTTCAAAAAATAACAAGCACATTTCTCTGGTATGCTGCCTGCAAAAATCATCAGAGGTTACTTACACAGGATTTTATTATTACATATTTACTAGAAAAATTGAAATGGTGGTAGCTTGTTCTCCAAGATGTTCAGTCTGGCCACATGCTTTACAAAAATATATTTATCAAACCTATTAGAATTCAGGGCCTTAATTAACAAGGTTTCAGTTGTACAATTAGCATTCAACTGTGATTTCAAAGGACAAAGGTTCTGCACACAAAGTGAAACTGTTGCTGGTCTAGGACTTAGGTTTCTAGCTCTTTCTCACAAGAATACATTTCTTACATTCCCTTTCACATGAACTAACGTTGAAGCATGGATTTGAGATGGGTGCACTTAATAACTAAAGTCTTCAAATATTCGACAAGTGAAACAAAACCACAGAATAAATAACAGAATCAATGTAAAAGTTACAGTTGTTAAATTCTTTCACTATTGCACTAAACGTGAGTTATATAATCTATATCCTTGATTCTGTGAGAAAGACAGCATTATGAAGAGACATGCAAATATCTGTATGAGTGCACTGTACCTCTACGGACAATATCAGGCATGGAAAAAGTGGTTTATTTTGATATACGCAAATAATATGAGCAATTAGACAGAAACACTTAGTGAGAACTACATTATTAATACCATTTGATACTCCTTTTCTTCTTCTGTCATTTCTGGTTCACTTTGCTCCTCTTGAGGAGCTGGGGATGGACTCCTGCTGCTTTTCCCAACACTTACAGCTTCTGTGTTTTCAGCATCTTCTTCTTCCTCATCACTGTCCTACAAGAACAGCATCGTACATTTTAGGAAAAACATAGATGTCAAGCTCCTTATTTTCTATTTGTAATAGTCAACTTGGTTTATTTTGTACTGAAATCTGTATTACAGTTATCATAAAACTATTTATTTTCTCGTTTCCTAAAAAATACACAGGTACCTCTACCCACATAAGCTAAGAAAATACATAGCTGTCAGTTGACTGCCAGACATGTACTTAGCACTACAAACAAGATAACTGCTACAGTGAAGGCAATGCAAGGTCCCCTAAATGGGCTCAGTTTAGCAAATACAGGTATCTGAATTTTTTCAGCTGCTGACTTAGAACTCAGGCTTTCAAAGACTCTGTATGTTCCAAAAGAAAAAAAAAAAAGGAGAAAAGGCCAATTTCATCATTGTTTTTCTGCTACTATGGATCAAATAATATATTTTACCTCTCAGACATAAAAAACTTCAAAACACCAAGTAATTATCAACACAGTAGCAGCATAACCTTACTTCCAGCAACGAAACCAAAGAGGTAATCAGGAGTACAGTCTCTCTTTTGAAGAGACCAAAAAGTTGATACCTTTCAGGAAATACAAACCTGAGCAAAAAGTAAACCCTTCTACTTACAAATTTACTTTTCTGAGGTAACCGTGGGCCATCCCCTTCTTCAGCCTCCTCACTTTCCTTTTTTTCTTTTTTGGACATCTGTGAACGTTGCTGCTCCATTCTCTCTTTTTCCAGTTTTTTCTGTTTTTCTCTTTCCATCTTTTCCAGGCCCTCTCGAATCCAGGCAGGCAGAGTTCTACGCTTCACAGCATCTACATAAGCAAGGTTTACAATTATGCAAGATGAAAAAACCTCCCCCCCCCAAAAAAGAACAAAAAAACCCCGCAAAATAAAGAAGCAAACCCTCCACCTCCCCCACTCAAACAAGTTACACATCTTATTGTGGGGAAAAAACCATTCACAATGGCTTTTTCTTTCCCTGCTCTTTTACTTTCCATTAGAAGAAAAGGTCTTCAAATTTTGCAATTCTTTTTAAAACACAGTTTTATATTTTTTCATTAAGGAGTGGGTAACATGTACCAATCTGTGGAGGCTCCTGCTTCACAGGCATCGCAATAGGTGAACGCTGCCGATCTCTGAATGAGGGTCTTTCCCTTCGATTTTGAGTAGGTGCAGGAGGTGCTGGAGGACCTGGTGGTCCTGGTGGTCCTGGCTGCCAATAAGGTGGATGAAATCCACCTTGAGGTGGACCAAAAGCAGCCCCATGCTGAAAGAGTAATGCAGTTTATTTTTCTTCACATGGTAACACCAAATGCAGCATGTGAGCAAGTCGGTCTACAAAAATCCATGCAAGTAGGAATCCACGATTTCTAGGCTACTGAGATCTCAATCTCTTTTACTGTGATCCCCACAAACAAGTTTCCTTTAAATACTTAATGAGTAAACTTAGATTTAAGCAGGGATACTAACAAAGCTGAAAGGGCTTCAACCAATCTCCTTTTATATCGTGCTAAACATTAAGCCTATAATCACCATGTGCCTCCATCAGTTCCTTGCCAGCTTAGCATCAGAGCATGCAGTTAAATGAAGAGTATACAAAACTAAGATTTAAAAGTCTAGCTATGTTAGCAGTCCTTCCTTTTAGCTACAACATGAGGACAAAAATTTAAAGTTCAACCTTTCATTACAAAAGAATTTTCCACTGTGCATTTTCCAGTATTCATTCACGGATCTTATTAGTATGGCTGATTAAAATATTAAATTCATAACTATGTCATTTTAGTATAGATCCTGGGTTCTGGACAAGCTGTACGCAATCCAAAAGCCCTAACTCTTGAGGCATACAAGGAGTTATTTGTTTTAAGGTTTGCTGCCCAGAAATGCCTAATGAAACTATTTAAGAGGAGAGTGTTTAGGAAGAAAGTTATAGCATCAAATATTCTACTGACTATTAAAGTCACTAGTGCTGAAGCACTCTCCCACTACAATTTCAGGTCAAGCATCTCTCTTTTATTCACTGCAAAACCAAGTTCTCTGTAGTATTTAGAGAAATTAATTTTAAGAGTTTGTCCCACAATAGTAAACAATATTCTTATAATAAACTAGTATATTGGCAAATTATTTGTTCACTACCTAACGATACTGCTGAACAACAGAATTACAAGAAAAAAACAGCCCAGAAGATAGAAAAACATTTCTGCCCATCTTCCCTTGTGTTTGCTTATGAACAGGATGTAGGTTTTTTTAACAGGTACAGTTTGTCATTTATATCAAGTGTTTTGAAAGAAAAATACTGAAAATAGAGGGAAGATACAAAACTGCTTTGTGTTTAAAGATTTTGTACAATTCCTCCTGCCGTTATTAGTGCTAAAACCACCTACAGGTTTATTATGCTATGCAAGTTATATGCCAGAATGAAGAAAAAAATTGGATGTGGACTTCTTTAGAAATACCATTGTTTATTCAAAGAATCACAGTAGATAGATATGGAAAAGATCAATGGATCATCCAGTCTATCTCCCTGCAAATACAGGACTGTTTCCTGTCGTACATTATCTAGTGTATTTAAATAAATCTTTCTGAACTTTATTTTTTTTTCCTTCTCCTCCTCTTTTTGTTTTTGTTTTTTTTTTTTTAAACACAAAGCTACATAATGTTAATTTATATACTGGAACACAGTGATTCATTTTAACATTTAAGACAACAGCCATCTCATTACTACTATAGAAAAATAAAACTCTTTGGCCTCTGAACAGAACTGAAAACTCCAAAGGCTCTTCTTTAAAGTATTTGGGAAAAATGTATCTTAGCAGATAACAGATTCTGTAGATGTTTGTAGAACTGAAGAATGAAAGTCGCCGCTAGATGATATTAGAGGAACACATCCACGGAAGGGACTCTGCGCGCCTACAATATTAAAGCAACAAATATGTTTCACCTGATAGTCAAACTGGTTCACTGGCCCCATTGCAAAGTTATCGGGAGGTCCCCCAAAGTTGTGATTGTTCTGGTTAAATATATGCCTGTTGTCAGGAGTAAATTCCCCACTGTCCTGACTGTTGCTGTCTTCAGATGGAGGAACAATTTCCATTTGACCTGGGGTTGGAGTCATCCACTGCTGGTCTGGAGGTGGGTGAGGGGGTTGGTGAGGCATTCCCCATTCTGTTTAGGATTTAGAATACAATTCAATACCAAGTTAGTATAATTTACATGAGTCACCACTCACTCAGTGTTCTTGTATTTATCACAACGTTTCTCACAGCATCACAGACAATAAAGTTCAAAAGAATCATCCATCTACAGACTGTTATACTGCCAATAATTTCTTCAACTAAATGAAGAAAATACAAATAGCTGTAGCTGAACGAAAACATGCAGTGGAGGGACAGAATTGGACAGATGTAGACATGCTGTAAATTTGTTTTTATAAATTTTTAGTGACAGTGACTTCACCACAGGATTTACAAGTTGTTTAAACTGTTAAAAAACTGCTCCTACTTCTCTACTTCAACTTTCAAAGCAATGACCTACTTTATTCTTTTGTATAATAGACTTGAAACATCTACTATGGAAAGCAAATGGTTTTGTAAACAGCACAACCACTGAAACCTGCGTTCCAAAGTCTTGTGTCTTGATAATGGACGATTCCTTGGATTGTCCAATACCTAGCAGAGGTTCTAGCATAAGCTAGTCATAAGCCCTCAAATATGTTACAACTCGTTAACAGAATGCAAAGAGTCAAAGGAATCAATAAATAGTCCATGTGGCCATAATTTTTTGGCTGATTTCCTTAGAAAACTGTATCTGCTGTACAGATACCTACAGACAAAGCTACCTTGTAACTTCCCCCAGTAACAGAATTAATATCTAGCCTCTCAGGTTAATTTTTACCTTCCATCCAGTTCTTTAGTCCATTTTTCTAATTTTCACTGTGCTTGCCATCTGCATCCTAATGGGATCCATAACTGTAGCAACTAAAAAGTGTTAGCACAGTTTTTCTACTTGCTGTTCTTTCTTTGCATGTTCAAACTGACCTGAAAGCTTGCAAGTAACATACAACACAAGCTCTTTGCACTTGTGGAACGTGAATCCCTTCAAAATCAATTGTCTGCCAGTTAGGTTTTCAGATTGCCATTTTAGTTTTTTATTAGTAGTGTGCAAAGGACTTTTGGATCCAAAAAGAAATTTGGAAGGATACAGAGGGAAGATGAAGCTTTGTGGAAACAGAGTAAATAAACAAGAGAACTTTGGCTAGCCATCCAGTTTTGTGTGCTGTGACTACTTTTATATATTAAGAATAACATTGCTTAAACTAAAGAAAAGCTCAGTAACACAGAAGAAGAATAAGATCCAGTGAAATAAATATATAAAGAAATTCAGACCATCTTTCTACAACATTCATATCCCTATGACAGGGATAGAATAAACCTGTTACTGAGTTGTGTTATCAGACCCTTCTGATAACTGTTCTGTACTGTAACCCATTTTGTAGAACACCTGACTGGAAAGTAGCAGCTGTGATACTTGTTAATTAGTCAACTGGTAGTTTTGCATCTTAAAACCTGAGCGACAGGGCATATTCACACCCAAAACTGTCTGACAAGAATAAAATGTCATTACATGAAGAAAAGGAATGAATAGGAGGGAAAACAAACCTGGCTGCCACATTCTGTTGAAGTTGGGATCCCCCTGAAAATTATTATGGTTGTTTGGACCAGACTCTATTCCTGAAATATCCTGGCCGTTTGGCATCATTCCTTGTTGTTCCACTACATTCTGTTGCCCTGAGGCTTCTCGTTGAGCAATCCATGCTTGAGCTAATGCAGCCCAGTCAATTTGGCCTAAAATAAACAGAGGAAATTAAAAAGGTTACAATTCACGGTAACAGTTTAATACAGTTTAACACTGCTTTTTAATTACAGGTCTTATTGCTCGGGAGAAATGGGCAACATTTACCTTCAGCAAGTACCGTGAGCACCATTAAAACTTATTCACGGTGTACAGTAAAAGAAACAAAGCAAATGTCAGCGTACGGACTTGCTGAAGTAGAGTTTCTCTGCACATGTTCAAAATGCCATAAGGCATATTATTTTTAGGTTCACATTAGCACTGAATGGGTGGCAGCAATGTACTTTTTTTCATAAGTGAGCTAATTTTGACATCAGAAATAAATATAAATAGCCTTAAATTCTAAATTAATGAAGACTTGAGTGCAAGGAAAATACAGAGTTACAAAATGATTTTTCAATGTATACTCTTTGTATAACCCTTGCTATATTATGTTACAGTTCTCTCCCCCATTTTTTTCTTTACTGCCATTCCTACCAGTAAATAAATTTCACTCTCAAATGAGAACACTAGTGTGTCTTCTGCTTATTGTCAAATCAGGAAAATGCTCCAGTGAATTTAACAGAAATTAAAGTAAGAGTAAAACCAGTGTGCCTCATCACTCTGCCCTAGTATTAAATACACACCTCCATGCTCTTTATCCCTTTCTCTATTTCTCTGGAAATTTTGAATTGTTGTCACCTCATTCTCAATTTAAGGTATATTATGTTCTATTGTTTAATGTGTTTGGTGGGTTTTGGTGGGGAAAAAAAATCCAAACAAGAGATCATGATTATCACCGTTGTAACCTAAACCAAACATCACACTAGTCTTCCAATGAGAGTTTTTCTGTATATATATATATATATCTGCATTATACCTGTACTTCTGCCACACAGGTACCAAACAGAAAAGCAGATTTTCTCAAATAAATTATTCAGCTTGGCTAAACAACTGACAAGGATATAGATTCTGTAGAAGTAAATGAACTCTAAATGTTGATAATTTGTCTAGGATAACTCAGGCTGCTTGCCTCTGTTTTGCATATTATATATTAATGGTGTGAAAGCATTTGGATTCAATGTATGTTTTCTATTTTTTTGAGTTCTGAAAAGCATCATAAATGTATTATCTTGAGAGCAGCTACAAAAGGGCAACTATGCGTCATGCTCTGTAACAAAGATCCGAAAACTCAAATGACAACAGATTAAAAAAATTAATCCACAAAGCTTTCTATATACTTACTCGGATCTTGCTGGTGCTGAAATGACTGCATCCACTGCTGTTGGTTCAAAGGCCATTGCTGCCAAGGTTGTCCACCTTGATCCCACATCTTTTAAGTCTTTATATAGTCTATATTTCAACTAAAAATAATAGTTGTATGTTTAAATAGATGCCCACGAAATAGCACATAACTGAAACTTACATAACTGCAGATATAGTTAAGCCTTGCAAAGCAAGCTGAAGCAATGCTGGCTTAATATTTTAAGCTGGAGGAAATGGTTCATCCTTTAGAGTAATATCTGAAAATATTACTGTAAGATTTCAGAAGTCTAGTATGCTTTCTCTGTATTTTTGCAACGAACTTAACAACAAAATGATGTTCAAAGAGAGATATGACAAGTTTATAAGACAAGAACTCATCTGACAATAAATGCAATTTAAAGCAAGTCAAAATATGAAAGGCATTACTTGATGTCTTTGCCTGCTTCTTAGGGAAAAGATGTGTATTTTTTTATACAAGTGTCATGCAAGGCTGTTAAGCAAGACAGAAGTCACCAAATGCTAAAACACATTGTTAATGATTGCACTGGAGAACTGCACAGGTACAAGATGGTGTCGACATGCATTTTATGCATTGTACAGGCTCATTATAATTTCTAAATAATACATTCCTTCAAATCTGAGAAAGAAAAATAAATATGACTGTACAATTACCACATGGTCCCCTAAAATCACGAGAAACAATTTCTGCTGTGCTGTATATCCTCATTGAGCAGGCAGCAGCAGCCCTAGGTCCAGACAGCAAAGCTCCACAACCTGCTGTAAGTGGTCCTCCAGGACCAGCTTTGCAAGAATTTTCTGAGGTGCAGCAGTCCAGGTAGGTGCACCTGTAATGGCATTCCAGTTCCTTCCAGTTATTCGTACCTCTGGCGCACACCTGACCTGCTACACCATGGAGGACTTGACAGTGGCTACCTACGTTGCTTCAAACAGCTTTTCTGAAGGCAAAGACTTGGCATGGTTCTGGGAACACTTCTCTCCAGAAGCTGTTCCCAAAACCCAGTATGGGTAGGAACACACTCAGTGTGACTCCCTCTGTCCTACCCAGCCTGTTAAGAACTTCTCAACAGGCTTCCCACTCAATAAATATATCCTCATGGAATTTAACATACAATCCTTGAGCACATGCCATTAAAACATCAACCATGTAGGTTGTTTCAAATGCGCCAAACTTAAAAGAAAGACAAAAATTCGTTCCCTGAGGTCACAGGAGCAGCATACAAGACCTAGTCGTGGCTCACAGCCAAGTGTGATACAGAATAGATTAACAGAGCCTGTCTGCTTCAGACCAAACCAGTTCAAAGTAGCCAGTGCTACTTGGGTGGCCAGCCAGGAACACAACCCCAGCCACTCCTATGGAGCGGGACACATGCAGACCCCAGACAGAGCCCGCTTTCGGCAGGCAGAGAAAGCAATTACAGTGGATCTTGCTTGCAAAAGCATCTTGTGCTTAGTGCTTATCCACTTACATAAATAACTGCATGACTGCATAGGAAGAAAGCATCACTAGACAGAACTGCACAACACAAAGAGCCGTACGTGTAACATCGGGGGCCATGCAGAGAGGAACGCAAGCTCGTATGTTGCATACTTCTGTCTAATTAAATCTTTTATCTTAAAAAAACTGTAGATCACCTTTGAGACCACTTACTTTCAACACTGCACAAAAATTACACATGCATGGCTCTGAAATATTCAGTTGCAAATGCCTTTTTTTGAGGGGGCTTTAAACACGACTAGTTCAACTCTGGCCATGGGGGAACACTGGGCTAAACCTACTTAATTATTTTCTTTATCTTTCCCTGACAAATAAAGTATGGTGGCTGTTTCCCATTTCACTTATATTTTTATGATATTCAAACCTTTAATAACTGCAGACCCTGCCCTTTCTTTTGTCTCTCTCTTTTTTTTTTTTTAATTTTCATCTGTACCTAAGAAATTAACTTTCTTACACCAGTTGAGTGTAAGGGTAGCTACTAATGCACTTAAAGCAACATTTAAGCTGGCCTTGCCACAGCTAGCTCTCTGGGTATTCATATATACATATTTCATATGTATGAACAAGTAACCTCTCATACTATTTTCACCCTAACATAAGAAAAAGGTAACTGTTTCTATCTCCTCTCAATTCATCTTCCCACTCAGAATACAAATTCTTTCAGTTGTCAAAATAAACTTGTTTACATCTTAAATTTGTAACAACTGGGGTTCAAGACTACCACTGCACTGCACAGCCTCACGGTGCTGCTCTCTTTGTTTCTAGCTGTTAAATCACACCAGCAATAATAAAAATATATTTCAGTCATTCTGGTAGCACTTTCTTACCTCCATACATGGTATGTTGCAACAAGTTTGTGAAATTACACTAAAATAAACTCAGCAAAGGGTTTAAATTGTTTCACTAATAATGTGAGAGACAGTTTTGCATATAACTGAATGCAAAAAAAAATTCTTAAACTGTTAAATATTAATTTCTCTTATGAAAGTGTAACAATATTAAAAGCACCTCTACAAATTCAACTGAATTGGAACCTCCTACACACAGATTTACTTGATAGGATCAGATGAGATTTATTTTTACTGAACTGGCTCTATCTCTGTCCTAAAATCTTAGGCATTCTGGATTTCTTTTTTAACATGTTCTAGCTAACACAATTACGTATCTGTTTCTCAACTGAAATGGATGCTTAGTATTCTGACCTTTATTTTTTTATTCTCAGGCCTTGATCCTCACTGTGGACAAACTGAAGTACCACTTTAGATCATTAAGAAGGTGCAAGGTAACAAATGCCTCCACATCTCAGCATAACCTGTGTTCAAGACAGCAACTGCCTTATTATTTTAAAAGGTATTCAAATAAATTTTGTGGGGGAGATAAATTACATTGCAGTTGCATCAACTGGCATCCAAAATGGTGACTAAGAGACACAGAAGACAGTGACCTTCGACAGCAGCAGCATTCAGTCCCCTCCTGGCTTCGCTGTCAGCAAGTTACCTTGCCCTAGGACACCGAGGCCAAGTCCAAGGGAAGTGGTGCTGGAGGACCCCACCATTTCCCCATTACAGAACAGCACTGACCCCAGGGCACCCAGCACTCCTCTGGGCTGCTCCCAAGCACATTTCAGGTGTCAGCACGGACCTGAGACCCAGCGGGCACTTAGAACAAGTCCATTCTGGTTGCAAGATCAGAGGCTCTCACTCAGGGCCAGCTGGCTCCCCGGCCAGACTGAAAAACGCAGTTGGGTTTTAGCTGTTAGCACACATAGCTGCTTCTCCAGGGCTCTGCAATATAATATGGCCCCCAGTCTTCAACTTTCACTACAGAGATTATTTCACCTTATTACTGCTATTCTGGGAAGAGAAATCAGGTGGGGAAGTGCAAAGCAATAGGTCAAGGCATGGAGCTGGTTTCTATTTTGATGCACAACAGTATGACAAGACAGCAACAACAGTATAGTACCTTGAAGAACTTCAACACTTGATTAATTCAATTTATGCCATCCAGATTTAAAATCACTGCCACTTGAAACTGATAATTTTAGTTTGTCAACTGTATTTGAAAGTTTTTAATTCTGTATTGCATTTGTACCTTTACTGTTTTCCTGAAAAAATGTTGATTTTTCATAGATCGGCAACTATAAAAGATGCTGGCTTTCAAGTACACAATTTATTACCAAATTCAGTATAAAAACATTCTTTGCTAATCAGAAATATGTACCACACAAATGCTAAAGCAGTGACATCACTTTTTTTATGCAACTATACATGCAGAAGTCCTTTTTCAAATATCATGTGAAAACTGGTCAAAAAGTATTTCTAATTTTCTGTTTATTTCAACCCATCTTGGTTATTGAGTAACGTGTTTTTACAGAAACAGGAACTGGACACGGAAGGAATAAAATTAACATCTTAAAATGTTTATAAAACTAACCTTAACATATACAGGCTAAAAGAGAAGACCTCATGTAACCAAATATTTAAGTATTGAAGACTAAATGACGTATTTTAGAATGCACTGCTCAGAGCCAGTGAACAGAAGAGGTTTGTTCTAAGGCTTCTATCTATGTGGTGACCTGGAATAACAGAACACCATCATTTTCTGAGAAACAGACTCCCCTGCTTTTTTGTTCTCCACTTGTTTTCCTGCATTTTTTCCAAGTTTTCATCAACTAGTAAAAGGTAAACATGAAAAAGGTACTTGATATAATTTTTTGCACTTACTACAGGGAGGCTGTAGGCATTTAAAGATGGTTCATCACCTTCAAAAATTGTTTTGCTAAGCACTGCAGTGTTTAATGGTTTCATCTGCTTTTAAGTTTCAGAGGCAAAAAGGCCCCTGGCTTTAGCTCTTCATTTTCAGTTATCACGTACTAAAAGGTAACTAAACAAGAACTTAGGCTATTTGATGTTACTCTTTTTAACATAAAAGTAATGTAACTTTGTATTCTGCTTGTGAAACTTTACTGAGTATACAAGGACTTTCCAACAGAATATCGGTATTATCCCATCAGACATCACTGACTTTGCTAGTGATGCTATTTTAAAGATGTCAAAAATAAAAACAGACCAAGCCAAGTCATACAACAATGAACAAACCAGATGTGAGAGTTACCAAAACACTTTTGAACCTCAGTGCCATATACTGGAAAGGGCACAAACTCCTTCAAAAAGAACCCACAAAACACAATTAAGAAAACGGAGCTTGTTCTCAGTAATTTTAAAACTACTGCAAGGGATTCACCCCCAGTACTGAGGTGGGGAAGGAGGAAACAAACCCAAAACCAACAAACAGTGTCTCTTTCCCAACAAATCAGTAACTTGAAGGCTTGAAACAGCTGAAACCTCTTGTACTAATGTATGTGACAAGAAACAAACATTATTTTCCTGAGACACAAGTAGTAACTAATAATGCAGAAAAGAGAATCAATGTCCTTTCTCACCTAATTAAAATCTGCATTGCCAACACTAACTCAGGTTGTTGTCACACGAATTATAAACAAGTTTTAATTCCTTATAAAGTTCCCAAATCAGTATCACCTGAAAGAAAGAGGCTTCACCTAACACAATGGACAGCTCTAAGCCTATTTCCCACTAGTGACACAAGGCCAAATACACAGCAGAGCATCCAAATCGCAGTGAAAGGCTTTATTTTCCACTGAAAGGGGGTGGGGGGAGGGGAAGATGAATACTGGCTAAAATCTACTCAATTCAAACATTAGCAAGACACTGACAGAGGGGTACATCAACTGAGAAGTCATTAGGACATACTGGTTCTGACATCATTACTGCATACAACAGGTTTGAAAAGCAAACAGGTTCAAAGAATGGATCCATTTTACAGGTACCTAATTACAAAGGCAAAGGCAGCTACTACCCTCCTTCATGATGATGGGTTAAGGTTTTTTTAGTTAGCTGTTCTACCCTCCAATTCAACTGGACATAGCCTTTTTTTGCTTTCTCTCTCTCTCTCTCTCTAGCAAATACAAACAAACAAAAGAACATTTATTGGTGCTTCAAGAGCCATTCCCTGAGGAACAGGAACCTGAATCTATTAAAAATCTGTTTACCAATGAAGAAACAGAAGCCAATTGAGAATTCTTCTTGTTTTGTACAGAAGCACAATCACATGAGCAAAACACCTCATCAACTCGCATCTAATTTCAGTTACATGTACTTAATTTATTATGAAAAGTTCATGTGGTATCTCAAAATTTTGCTGGAGTTTTTAAGAGCAAACATGCTGATATAGGTTCTTTTGCATGTTGCTTATTTATAAAAAAAAAACCTCTCCTATTCAAAGGCTGGACCAGGATCTCTTGAAGTTTTATTAAAGCAAATTACTGGTATGAAAAGTGCCACCCTTGAGAGGATTGCTGGGGAAGCCTCCCCTGCTAATGATAAAAGCTGAGACAGCAACATAGGTAGGACTTACCTTGATCTCCAGCAACTTCCGAGAGCCAACAGCACTCAGAAGAAATTTAAACTTGTTGTCAAACTCTCTACTACAGTATTGAACCTAACTTTCTGTTGGGTAAAGACAGAGAAAGAACAGATATTTTAAAAGGCACCTTTCCACTCCTCTCCTTGATTGTGACTTCAGCTCAGCTACAGATTACCTCTCAGTGTTAACTTGTTCTTTTAGAGGAAAAAAGGCATCTCCTTCAATCTGTCCATTTTTTTGCATAACATATTTTCTGATGCAGTTGTATGATACGTCCAGACACATCACACACTGAAAAGCATACAATTAGAAGGTACTTACCAGTAAACACAGTTTTGAGTGATAATTCACAAGCTCACCTTTAGCTCTGGGAGACTCCTCCCAGCACTTCCCACAAAACACAGTTATCTTAAAGCAAATTAGATTTTGACACCAATAGAAATGCAACCTGTTCAGAAGAGCATGGTTTCCTGAGAATTTCCCAATGGCACAGTGCTTGGTGAGGGCCCCTGCAGCTCACTGCCCACTGCTATCAAAGATGGGGCCATTTATAAGACAAGGCCACCAACAGCCCTTGAGCACCAACAGATTCACTCAGATTCCTCAAACAACTAAATCTACCTCGGCAGTTTCATAGTGTAAGCTCATAAAATCTGTTATCCAGTCCAAATGCGCTTGTGCAGAGGTAGCTATGCCCTGACCTCTCAACGATGGAAAGGAGCAGTCAAGACTCAGTTCTGTGAATGACAAAAGACAAAGCCTTCTTGTTATCCTGGAGATACTATCTTCCCTACGTGCATTATGACATTAGCTGCATTAGAACTGAAAAAGCCAAGACACTTCCCCTGAAAAGATAATCAATACCTTTTTTATCAATTTAATACAGCTAATGGATAATCTGAATTGCTCCAATTCATGCAGCTAGTCCAAGACAAAAAGCACAAAGACTTAGGAAGTTAGGAAGTTCCACTCCAGAAGGCCACCAGGAAGACAATTAACCACACCTAGCTGCCCAGATGAGGACTTCCTGCAGACACTTCCTTGCTATTTCTAAGAAATTCCCATTACTGTGACAATATCCTTCTCCTCAACGTGAATGTTACACAAAATCCAAACTATGCAGAATACCTCAAACATCCACGGCTTCTGCAGCGGAGATATGGAGATTCTGAATGACTTTCCAGGAAATTCATGGAAGTCAAATACCTTAGCAATGAGCAACAAGTATTCTCTGGAAGATGAAATTAAATAAGGTATTTGTTAGAAGCTAGACTAACTCGACTCCCAAGAAATCAGGAGATAGCCTAGGACTCAGGCTGTCCCCTGTCCCTAGGAGGAGAGTGACATGCACCTTCTGCAGTGTCATGAGCTGGACATCCGGGTTGGGAACTCCTACATCAGACATCAACATCAATTGACCAGATCTTCAGCATCCGGCAGTCCAGTTTATTCAACCCTGTAGACAGGTGGACTAATAACTCTGGAACCTACAGAACCACAGCCAATAATCAAGTGATTTCTGGGGAGGCTGCTGCATCACCTTTCTGATCACAGGACACATCACTCCTGAAGAGTAGGTCAATATATGACACAGGATGGCCCAACAAGTTTTACTTGTAAACTGAGCTCCAATACATGGCTGCAGAAGTTTTTCTAATGACTAAAGATCTTGTCTTGCAGGCATTCCAAACAGCCATTGCACTTTAGCAAAGAAGTATTCATTATCTAAATAAACAAAGAAGTTGAAACTGCAGGCCATCCTGCACACTTGGAGAACCCCTACACAGCTAGTCTTGGCACCCCGGGGTTTAAAGACAACACACTCCTTTTTGATACTCCATTCATAGGTCAGATATCCAGGTAAAAAAATCAAAACCAAAACAAACATCTCCTCTAAGATAACCTGCCAGTGCAGCCATGACTTTTCGACTATATTTAGGTTTACAGAGTAGTTGAAGGGAAAGACCGCAAGGGACAGGAGTCGTGGTTTGTCATAAACTGCAAGTACTGGTTTGGAAACAAATTAATATTATATAATCAGCTTCACTAACTAGGTGATCTCTTGGTGTGAGCTTAAGACAGCACAAGCAGCAAAGGCACATCAGTCTCTATTTGATGCTCTTTGTAGAATTCCTGGACCACAGAAGTC